CTGAACAAGGAAGCGCGGCGCCTCCGGGGCCATAGAGCCTGGCCTGCGCGGACGCCGGACGCCGCGGAGGGAGCGGGGAGCGGCTGCTTGGCGCGCGGGACTGGCGGCCACCGGGCCAGGCAGCAGGGCCGGCGGGGAGGCGAGCTAATGCCGAGGGGCGGGGACCGCCTGTCCGCGCGCACGCCGGGAAGAGGTAGGGAAGGGGCTGGGGGCGAAGGCGGGGGCTGGCGCGGCTGCTCTGGCCCAGGTGCGGAGGGCGGTTCCGGCTCTTCGACCGGCACGGCAGGTTCGTGCCCCGTCGGTCTTTCAGAAAGAGAGTTGGGCAATTTGAGGGAGGAGGAGGAAGCCGCTGCGTTCGTCTTCTTGGGAGACTCTCCAGGACCGGAGAAATCCAAAGTTGGGCTCAAGTTGGACGTTTCCTCCGCTTTCGTTTTATTGTGGCCACCGCCAGGTCAAATTTCTCACTTGCTCAGAAGAGCGCTAGTACTTTCGGCAGAACCGACGTTTGCGTCATCGTTTTCTTCTCGACCCTCCTTGCAAAATTCCGCCAACTCGGGTAAAAAAGCCCCAGTTCCCAGGTGATTCATTTATGAAGTACAACGGGATGGGTATCCTTCCAAGCTAGTTTTAAAGAGGAAAAAGGCCTGGAGGAAATCTTGGCTGGATTGTATCTTGCACAGGGGCACTTACTGTGCACAGGCTGTGTCTCGTTTGTGGGTACACCTTTTATGCATGAGTACACCCACACAATAGGTATGATGCTGTACTCAATAGAATAATTAATAGAAGCTAAATGAGGCGGGATTATTTAATGAAGACAGGGCATGCACCCTCAGAAATGATAATCTCAGGAGTAGGATAAAATGTCCTTCCTGGGGTTAGAATCTCCATATGGAAGTCTTACTTTGCTTGCCGTTCAGCAGCAGACTTACTGAAATGAGAAAAAAGGTATGCTCAATATTTATTTAATATTTTAATTTGCAATTAAATTAAATTTGCAACATAGCATAGGCTGGCTACTCTGGCTGCATTTGGCAGATATGTTTAACATTTGTAGAATCAAATCTATTCTGAACAAGTTGAAAATTATAAAGTTTGATTTTGAAAAGGTTGAAAGACAAGTCAAACTTTACAAAATGGTCTTGGAGTTAATCTCAGTAGATAGACAGGGCCTGCTTCAGTTGGTATAGTCCTAAACTTTCAGGTCCACAAACATCATCATCATAATTATCCCTGAACCGAATCCAGAGAAAAGCTGGAAGCAGTGCAGCTATTGCAGTACTGAACTGTAAGGAAGTCACATGCTCCCTGTAAGTAACTCCTTGCAAGCCTTGGGCAGCTACATTTTAGCTAACTGGAGTTTCCAAATGTGCTCTTTAAAGATAAATCTATGTAAAGAAGACTGATAATCCAGACTTGATGGAGTGAATACCTGATTCACCCTGGTCAGATTCTTTAGGAATGGATAAAGTTGATGTCCCAGTCTCAGTTGGACAAAAGCATTTCTGGTGCCAAGCAAGACCTAAAGACCAAGCCTAGAATTATAAGCCTTTGTTTGCGAGGGTAGAGTCACTCCATCAATGCAGACTGAATCCACCTCCCAGACAGCTTTATTAACCCAGAACATCCCTGATTTTGGATCCAGTTTCAGTTTGTTGTCTCACATTTGCTTCATTACTATCTCCAGGCAACAGTTCAGACCCTCCCTGAAATGATACAAAAATATGAGAAAGAATTAAGCATCACCTGCATATTGTGGACACTAAACCTACAACCTTTAATGATTTCCACCAACAGTTGCATACAGAAATTAAATACAGTAGTATATTGGTAAGATAGAATCCTGAGGGATATCATAAGTCCCTGGCTAAACTGGTAAATAGTACTGTCTTTTGAAGCACTCCAAACCTCCTTCCTTATCCATAACTAAATATCTAGTCCATGAAGTCTATTGAAGGTGTCAGAAGCCTTGCAATCAGTTAACCATTTTGCTAATTAGCTTGCTTCATTTCCACCATTATAAGAAGGGGGGGGGAGAGCTAGAAGGATAACAGTTAAGTGCAGATGGACTGTTATCTGTTTCTCAGGAATGCCCAAGGTCATATCAGAATGAGACCAAAAGAGACCCAGTGAAAGGCACAAGAAGGACTATGGGATGGAAGGGGGGTCATGAAGGAAAAAGGGGCTAAGTAGAGCTTGGCGTGCATGGGCTTTTTAGTTTCAGCAGTACTTTGGAGACTGTATACTACTTCCCAATAAATGAATCTTTCCTTGAACCTATCTGAGTTTCAAGAGGAGTCATCATTGCTGGGGACTGAGCTTTGCAGTTCATTACAGAAGGTATATTAAGGATTTGTGGGAACTTGAAGTTTTTTTAAAAAAAAACAACTTTAAATAACTGTAAATAACATTGAAAATATATTGTTCACAATAAAGTCACCCCAGTATGAAAACCTACCTGGAGCAAAATCAAACATTTAAAATCAAAATATGGCAATTCAGGGTTGGCAATTATTATAATTAATTAAACTATCTCTGATTGCATTATATATTAATAAATTAATCTGTTATAATTTTTTAGCTGCAGATGCAACGGGATATTTGTGGGTTATACATTTCTTCTGATAACAGGCAGTACTCACTGAAATTATCTTTTAGATGTGAAGTGCACAACCATGTGTCCTCCATACTAATTTTTGTAGCCTCCAGGTTCACTCCAAATCATGCCATTGGAATTTGCCAGCAAAATGACAATAATTAAGAAATGCCATTTTTAAATCCTCTCCTTGCCCTCTTCATTTTTAAAAAGAATCCTTCATCGGCCTGTGGAGAATGAATGGAGCATTTGGAGGCACTGCTGCAGAACGGATTTATTCTGCATCCACTGCTGCCCTTGGCGTTTATTTGGGGGTAGATTCATGGCTGCTCAAGTGTCCAGGTGAAAGGACGAGACGCAGTTGCACCCAGTAGTCACCAGGTAGCTCTCAGTTTAACCACTGTTCTGGCCATTATCCAGATCTGTATGACAAGTTAAGATCATCCACAATTTTGGATTTGATTGTTTTTATCTCTACCTAGTTATTTTCCTTTTTGTGAGGAGAATGTAAAAACTGAAGAACACACTGCAATTTTCACCCTAATTAAATTTTTATGTAAAGTAGAGAATAGGTTGCCAACCCTGAATCATTTTCATTTTAAAGTTGATTAGCTGTTTGTAAAGGTTGTCTTAGTTTGAGCTATTTTGGCTTAAAACATACCCATACATAGAAGTGGTCCTTCTAGTGCTGCAAAATGCAGGGTGTGAGTACAGTATACTGCAGACTGTGGATCAATTATTGTCTTACACATGGCATTTGCATTTTACCCATAATATCAAGCATGAGAAATATACATGTATTAATGGCATGTTTCTTTTAAAATCTTGGGCAAGACTGCTTCTGACATTTTTAGAGCCTGGGAAATCTATTTTTGCTGCCATGCAGAATAAAGAGAATGTAACAATGTCTGGCTAATAACAGAGCTGAGTGTATTTAGTTTTCTGAATTATTAAAAGGCACCCTTGATGCACTGAGTTGCTCTGAGAAGAGTGTTAGTATAATCTGTGTTTTTTTAACTTCTTATATTGTTTTTGTTTTTAAAAAATTGTTAGTTGCCTGGGAGTATAAAGGTGGGAAATAGATCTAGACATAAAGAAATGGTCTAAAACACATCTTTTAAAACTTTCCCCAAAGGCCTGGTGCCCGAAGGGCATGATGTCAGGAGAGCTTCATGTAGTTTCCTCACTGTTTTACTCTGACAGTGAAAGGAGCTGGAGTGTACCTCTGGAGGATTTTTTGTCCCTTTTGGAGGCAAAATGTTAAGAATATGGGCCTTAAATAACTGATAGGTAAGTGGTTGTACAGCATTCCCCCCCACAAAGGACATGAATTAATTAAGCTTCTATGCTTCTTAAATCATATTACTCTAAGCAGCATATAGCATAACTCATAGAAATACATTACAAATTAGACATTCAGTAACAGTAAGAATAATATATGGAGAGCCAATTTGGTGTAGCAGTCAAAGTCCCCTAGAAATGGGGAGACCATGCGTTCTAGTCCTGCCTTAGGCATGAAAAACCAGCTTGGTGACCTTGGGCCAGTCCCTTCCTCTCAGCCCTAGGAAGCAGGCAATGGTAAACCACTTCTGAAATCTTGCTAAGAAACTGCAGGAACTAGTCCAGGCAGTTGCCAGGAGTCAACATTGACTCGAAGGCACTATCAGCATATCTTCATATCTTCATAATAATATCATAAAACCATGATTAAGATTAATAAGGTTTCTTACAGAAGAGTAGTTTGACCCTTTCAAATATATGATCCATTTTCACCGTTACTTGCTGAAAACTGCATTGCTGAAAATGGCTGTATTGTCCCAAAAATTTAAAGGTGTGATCTGGGCAAGCTTGGGGCTAGAAGAAAATTGGGGTCCCCTGGAGTCTGCAGGCCATGAACTGGCTACTCTTGCAGTAGAAAAATGAACAGGACAGCCTAAGAGGTCCACATGCATGTGAGTCAAGGAATCTGAAGTGAGTTCTTCTGTTTTACCCTGACAGGGTGGAAATCAAAGACACTGTGCTATGTATTACTCAACAGTCCAAACAGAACACCTGTTGATCTTATAAGTGATAATGTTAGGGAAACAACCACTGTACTTGTAACTTGAAAAAAGGCTTTTGTTGTCTTGTTATTAAGCAAGTGACAAAGAGTTTCTCATAACTCTATTGAGATCTTTCTATTTGTACTTCAGTGTAGCTCACTGTGTGTTTTCAAATAAGTACTAGGCTTAAAATAAGCCTTTTAAATCCATCTGACCATTTCCAGTTTTTGCAAATAGTGAATGGATACTAGCATAGGCATCTGGGACCAGCCACAGTGATGTTACATCGTTTCATTTCCTCAAAAGGCTCCAGGGCTGCTGTTCCTACCACATGCCTCAAAGCTACAAGGGCCCCAAAAGTGGCCAAGCTTGTAGACTATGTTGAATTATTCCAGATGTAAAACCGAACAAGTTGTGAAAAATATTTTTCAGAACAAGCTATGGACAACACAGTGGCAAATAAGATTTCCTCTAAGTTACCCTGAGCTGAAAAACCTCAATATGTTTCAGGGAGCATGAAATTATTAAAAAATTTGGGTGTGATATGATGCAGATTATGCCAAGTTTTTTTTGGGAAAAACAACAACAACTGTATTTTCTTTTAACTTTCTTTTAAGCAGCACTCATTATAGGTGACAGTTAATCTAGAATTTTCCCAGAATAATTAAACCTGGAATCTCCACAGATGCCATAACTTGAGTGTTCTCAGTTTTTTTTTAAATGACACAACTGCCACTTGTGACAACAATATTGAAATCCATTCCTCATAGATACTAATGAAACTTTTTGGTGGAAGATAATCAAATACTTACAACACTTACAAAAGGGGCTGATAAATTTCAAATGTCATTTTCATGCTGTTTTTATGTAATTGTGTCTGAACCGGCAGTGATTAATTAGGAAAGAGCTATATAGATCATGGGGAATAATAGCTCCTTTGAAGAAGTATCTTGAGCTTAATGTTGCATCTTTAATATTGAAGGAAAAGCAATCACTCTCCCAATCAAATCAAAGGCTGGATGGGCCTTTGGTAAATTCATATCCTCTAGAAAATAGTCAGTACTATATTTGGAATGAGAGAGTAATTCTGAAATGATTTTGTTAGCCAACTCTAAGGGAATAATTCTTTTGGTTTCATGGAGTCTGAGAAAAAATCTGATATTCCAACATAATTGTGATGATCAAGACTCATAACATGTTTATGTTTCTATATTGTTTTAAACGACACAGGTTAAAAAATGCCCACAATAATTTCAAAATGAGGAATGATCAAATTTCCTTTAGGGAAGATGAAAGGTGAGAAAAATAAATTCAGGCTTGGTTTAGCTTTACCCAAGAATGTGAGTACAACACAGGAGATTATTCTGGCACACAGCTTGGAAGGAAGGCAATCATGTTTCTTCTTCACTGCAGCCCCCCAGGTCTAACACGGAAATTGGTTTTGGATTTAAAATTTTATCTCAAGTTCACCTACTACAGTAAAAATAGAGTAAGGATTTGATCATTCTTAGATTAACACTAAATATTAAAGTGACATTTAGATATTCAGATATACACCTTTGTACTTATTTACATTACAAGGGCACCTATTTATGTTAGTATTTTACTGCTATTACCATTTCATCATTACTCTAAAAACCAGTATTCTTGTTTAAACCAGACAATGATTCGACAATTTAGAATGTAATTTCATAAATTTTCAGATGTATCATGTTTCTACAAATTGGAATGTCTGCCGGGCCATCCTAGTATTTCTTTAGTAATTCTCTAAGTAGTCCAGAGGCTGCTTTTGCAATGTAAGAACTTGTATTTGCAAAAATTGCCAGTCACCCTTCTATTACAGGCACTGGTCCTAGAGAATGTTTCATTCTTGTCCTCCTTTTTGTTCATATCTACCAGTCTTTCTGTTATAGTTTCCACAAATATAATAGGTAAAAATATATTTCAGTTAAATTTGCACTTCATTGCTAATTAGTCTTAATCACTAAGAACAAAACATTTGGGAAAAAAAAACCTTCAGGCAGTTGAAAATATTTTCTTATCTGCTATTTTTGAAAAATAAATTATGCATATTTCCTGCCCTGCAAATGTTCTTTTTATGTTTTCATCTCCACCTGCAATTTACAGATATATTATACAATGTTTTTTTTCTGTTTATTTTATTTCAACTAAGTTGAATGAGAGCAACATCTTACAGAGCTGCCATACGTCGTCCTTCCCAAAAGCGGAGCAACCAGGAGAACATCTTCGCTCCATCTCTGTGCAGAATCCCTGCTTTCTGCTTTTCAGTCAGTGGTGGCTCTTCAGTCTACATGTGGCCTTGTGGGTAATGCATGGCAGCTGCCCTTTCTCAGTGTC